ATATATATATATATATATATATATATATATATATATATATATATATATATATATATATATATATATATATATATATATATATATATATATATATATATATATATATATATATATATATATATATATATATATATATATATATATAAATATATATATATATATATATAAATATATATATGTATATACATATATATATATATATATGTATGTATAGTAAAATAATGATAATAACAATAAGAATAAGAACAATAACAATAATACATGTACTGCTTACCGAGATCTATAGCTGCCAACAGCGTATTCCCGGATACATCTGTCACAAACACGCGGCATCCAGCTGTGAAGCAAATCCCTGCAGTAGATGCGACAAAGACATCCGAAGAGTGGTTGTACTGTAGAGGTGTAGTACCACACAGAAGATTATATAGAGTGAGTCTAGCAGCACCAAAGGTAGTGTAGATACAAAGATAAAGCAGCATGAACAAGTGTACACAAATAATCAACGCACCATGAATTCACTTCATCAGAATCATGTATAAACTTACAGAGTCTTCGGTATGCTCAACGGAAAACTTGCAGAGTAGATCGTCTCGGTATACACTGCCTTCCGTGCCACTGTCCAGGCCCGTAACCCCAGTAGTAACTGTATAATCCGCACCTCCTACTAGGTCTATACCATCTACTGCCTGAAGGTTGCCATTATTAACTATATCAGTGTTTTTAGCTTCACTGACACTTGTTGGGGAACCTACACGTGTATCTGATATGGTATGTACATGTACATCCGAATTGATGTCAACCTGTATATCGTTTGAACTACATATCAGAATAGCTTCCACTTCCAGCGGGTCATGTGTTGCCTCGTGCTCATTTTTTTTCAATACTTCAACGTCTACTGTCGTATCTACTTCCGGTGTGTTATTTATAGCCATCTTCGTATCCCCAGAGCCTAGCACAGCACTGTCGTCGCATATCTCGGGTGTCTGGATCTCCGTACAATCTCCAGGTTTTATTTCGCACCGCGACATATGACAGTCCTCTACTGGATCACTCTGGTCCATATTGGCGTGATTACAATCATTCTCTATACCCGCCATTATGAATTTGTATACTGGCTCGATCGGGATGTCTATTAGAAAAACTCGCGTTGCAATGCAATAGAAAGTACAAAAAGTACCTGTGGTATGTGGCTCTGGAATTTAGCGGATTAGTCTCTAACTACATTATTTATCCAATAAGCTAATGACAAGACCAACGAGTCGTAGACACTGATAGCATTCCGCACAATCATGGATGGGTTGACTGCTTGCTGTGTTATGTTCACATACACACTAGACAATGCACACTAAATAATACACGAGTAAATCTATTGGGATTTGAACCGCAAGAGTCAACTTGAAACTTGAAAGTGAATTAGTGAAACTATTTAAATAAAAATAGCCGGTTTCGCATAAGCCCGCCAAAATTGAATTTTGCCGCCAAATAAATATTCATTTCAAAGAAGCTTTGAGAGCACAAATTGACCGTATTTGGAGCTATCGATAAGGATCGAGTATTGATGACGCAATTACAAACGCCAGTAATGGTTTTCAACTGATATCATCTTTCCTTTTATTTTTACTTTTGACCGAGAGAAATACATGCATGTTTTTGGCAATTTCTAAATAAAAGCTTCCAGCTTTCACACCACTATTACAAATAATCGGCTCATTGTCTTCTGTTTAGACAACGTGGCATGAGCTCTATCACACTCAGATAGAACTTATTGTATCTCAGAGTGGCTGCGAACATGTTTACGGATGACAGAGAGATATTTAGGAAGGATCCCGTTGCGGAACAGTACGATGCGCAAATTGAGAAGCTCGGCATAAGAGGTATGAAATGAGAAACTTTGCGTGGTGAAATTTGACTTATATTCACATAACTGGTCATTTATGGACATATACAACATATACTTACCTTTACTCTACATTGATTTACTATTTGTGCACCACTATCAAAGTAGAACAGGGTTGCTACCTATGCAGCCGCAATGGAGCCTTATGTTCTCTGTCGATGCCTTGACTTGAATTGCAAGACTAATACACTATCGAATCCCACACAACACACTTCTCCAATCAATCAGATTTATTCTCAGCGGAGCTGAAGTTCTTGGACCTGTCTGGGCGAACCATGGATGACGATCTGAAGCTAATTATTGACACGATACAAGATTCGCTGCTACCTCGGTTGAACGCGCTTATGCTCAACGACAATGGCTTACGATCACTCCCAGAGGCGGTACTGAAAAAATCAAGTGTCAGCATACTATATGCGGCACAGAATGAGCTGGTTTCTCTGGCAGGAGTGGGTGAGTTATAGAACTGATGCGTTAGTACGCGTTGCTGTTGCCTGAAATACGGGCTGAACAGGTTGAATTAGACCTGGCAGAGTGTAGTATTTTTCAAGCATACATATACCATCGACATCTCGTGGTTTATATACTGTAGATTTTATACGAATTATGTCTTGCATTGAAATTCAGACTGAGAAAATTTTTATCAGGCTTAGTAGAGTTTAGCCTTTTACTTTATATTTTGTTTTCCACGTATATCCTGTACTCTTTGTAGTTGGTGGTAACTAGTTAGTGATAGTGTGCTGTGCGTACGCGGCACTGATTGAGTCGATGTCTCTGTCAGGAAATGGCGAGCCCCTTCTTTTGCAGGGCCACTTTTTTTTGCAATTTGGTTTTCGTGTCTTATATTTTTACTGGTGTAGTATCGTATAGTCCATATTATATAATATTGCAGTAAAGGCTAGTGTGCCAAATGGAGCACTGATCAGGCTATGTTGGTATGCCCATGCAGTACGACATGACGACTATTACCGCAGATTTCTTGGTGGTTCATGGTGCAATTGATAACATTCTATTTTGTGTGTGTGTGTATTGAGTAGAAGTCCATTTTTTTTTCCTGTTGGCACGAACCCCACCTCGATAGATGGCCGGTATTAATTTCGACTCATGTATGACTGTATGTAAAGTGTAACTTTTTGTGAAACTCATCCGTTTGCAAGATTGGATTGTAGTATAGTAAATCATTCAACGGTGTAAATATCTCTGGTTGGACGTAGTTCCACTAGCAATGTTTGTGCAAGCTTTCAAACTCCCTCACGAGCTTTAAGGTCATCAAAACTTGTGTTAATGTAAAGTTACTAGGTCTTTAATGCTTGCTTGCTAGAACTGATTTTGCCAGAATTGATTGGACTGGCTTCCAAGCGATTCTGAGATTCTCATTCGAGCCTTGTGTTACATATTTCATCGCAGGCGCCCTCAAGAGTCTGAAGTTCTTGACGGTGGATAATAACCAGATCGCAGCTATACCAGCCAGTATCTCCAAATGCAAAAATCTGAAGAGTCTGTATGCACAAGATAACAATATCAGCGAATTGCCACCAGAGATTGAGTGCTTGTCGAATCTAGAGGCTTTGTATCTAGCAAATAACCAAATCACAGATCTTCCGGAGTCATTAAGGTATGTGGCGGGTATCTCAGTTGCGGAGTGGTAACAACCGCTTGTAAGCTCTGTTCTAACTTATTTCAACATGGTTTGTAGGTCAAAATTACGACCGAGAAATACATTGGCTGGATGACACATTGTCGTACCTATAGGTTAAATTAGTGCAGCTACTGGACACCACAATGTCATAGCTGACGTCCACAATACCGAGAAAGTATCGCGTGTCATCGCACTCAAGTATTGTCGTTGGCTGAAATTCTGCAGGTTCTGCAAAAAGCTCGATGGTGCTAGTCTGAGAGGGAATCTGCTGTCCAGAATACCCAGCGTGCTCTTTGAATTGCGGAAGCTCAAGACACTGCACCTCAGTCGGAATGCAATAACAGAAGTCCCAGAGATTATCTGCAATCTTCAAGCGCTGAAGATACTCGATCTGCGTCACAACAAGATAACGAGGCTTCCAGAGAATATAGGTAGGCTACGGCCTGTTCTGTGCTTTGTTGCAGTGTAGTAGTGTCTGAAATGCTTGCCATTAGTTCACACTATAGTTGGAAGCTCACCTATCATGTATGGTCTCATCGGGGTTGTGGCGCAGCAAATATGTTTCCGTGAGCAACCCGAGTGGGGACATGTTGTGCTCTGCTGAAGTATGCGTATATAAGTCGACAGGCCTTCAACACGTACGAGAAGCTGACTTGGTCTGCACTCCCCTATTAATGATCGTTTGAATAATATACATGCAGATAGTACATGCATTCGAAGTATCTATATTTTTATGTACACACTAAGTCTTATGTATCTGAATGGCTGAGTGGCTGATAATCCTTAGAGCTCAAACCACCTTCGCCATTTTATGTACGTTAGACTAACCCAACACTTGTAAACAACTTTTGTCAGGGAGGTTACAGGCGCTGAAATTGCTCGACTGCAGCTACAACAGCCTGGTCGAGCTTCCAAGTAGTATCGGAGACTTGAGGAATCTAGAGCAGGCTTTCTTTGAACATAACGTACTAGAGGCGCTTCCCAAGGAAATGGGACAGCTGAGCAATCTACGAGAAGTCAATTTCTCGAATAATAACCTGAAATTTATTCCCATGCAGGTAATTGCGATTCATTTACGTCACTATACTTTACGGTTCCAATGCCACTGCTCTGTTTTGCGTTGTTTGTGTATGCCAGTATTAGTTTTGCACATTCTGTTAGCCCAAATCTCAGAGCTACGGCCTCCTCAACACCGAGCCCAAAATACTACGGTGAATAACAATTCGACATTAATAGCTCAGAGTCCTAGCACGCACAGTTTGTGTCCTTAAACTCGATATATATATACCATTGTGCTTTGTGCATGGATAAAAGATTGGGATGCAAGCGATGACGCTGTCGGCTACTTTTGGCGGAAACCCGTTCCCCACCGCCCAATATCTGCGCCGGTCTTCTCAGGAGAAGCCGCCAATGTCTGCTATCTCACTAAGGGACGCTGCATACCGACAGATACTCACACACTACAGAGACACTCAAGTCATTAAGGTATGTTAAGTATAGCACATGTCACAGCTCTTTGACATATCGCAATCATTCTTCAGCATTCTAGTCTGCTCTTGGGTCGTCTAGCACGACTTCATCCCGAGCTTTGGACGATACGATGGTATTGTCTCACGACATTCAATCCCAACTCGACTATAAACAGTCTGAGCAACGAAGGAGTGAATTCTTTGCGTATGCAAATCAAGCTAAAACCAATCCAAACCCACTCACTCTATCTTTACATTCCATTATCGGCAGTTATTGCCACCATATCTAGGCTCCAGATCCCGGATGCCTTGTGACGTCTGCCGGGCTCCAGCCTTTCAAGATACGAACAAATCCTTACTGGTGGGTATTGGAGTAGACCGCATAGTACTGCCGTGCCAGTTCGTGGTGTGCTCAGATGTGTGTGCGCTCCGAGCAAAGTCTAGATCGCTGGCGGTTATCACTCCAGAGTCACCGTTGTAGTCTACTGGTGCCTGTTTACTATTGGATCTTAAGGGGAGAGTGGTACAGGACATATAAGCGGTTTAATTCGTAGTATTGTAGGGATGACATTCCGATTTTCTTACGTGGGAAGTGTGCTCGCCTTTCGCAGTTTGCAACGATCTGTAGGCGTGGTTTAATTTCTGGGTTCCTATGGAGAATGTGGAACTTAAACTTGCGAGGCTGCTTTTCTGTAGTATACTCGTGGTGACTACATACCAGTAGGCCTCTATGGGAAGCCTGGTACAGGTGTGCTTAAGTCATACGACTGGGCAATATTGGTGAATGCAGTACAAGGTTATGCGATGATCGTTGCCAAACTAATATAGAGTCTGCCTATACCATTGCGTATATACGGAGAGAGTGCGACAGGAGTGTTTGGGGCTCGCAGCACAAGCACAAGGGGTATATTGACGCAGCGAAGTATATTTATTTGCAGGCAGTCGATTGAATCTTTGGGTCAACGACTTCCGGCTGTGGTACAGAAGCATCCATTAGAATCAACTGTGTTAATGAAGCGCATGAATACTTATCAAAGCCCATAGGTAGGCCTGAGCATGATATGAAGTAAATCGTGTCGTGCAGTTGCTTCAAAGTAGAACTGCTGCAGATGAGCCACTCCACACACGGAATTGCACAACAGCATGCAACCGGAGTGTGTGCTCGTGGTTAGTGGCACAGTCCGAACGAAGGCATCGCTCAGTGCACGAGCTGGGAACGGGTCATTTATACGTCGTATGCTGTATGTCTTGTCGTATGTCGTTACAAGTCTACCCAGTACCGTTAGCCATGTCAAAGGGTGTACCTCCGCCGTTGCCTACAGAGTCGGTGAGCTACGCCGTTCAACACTGATGGAGAGTTCTATGCTGCTTTGCTCAAATTGCAAACATCAGGTGTAGATAGTGAGGGTGTCAGGCCATAAGGTTCAGAATTCTGGGTTTGTGTGCTAAATCTATTGGCTCCTGCAACATGTGTGAGGGGTAGTGTTGGTTTGGTATCAACTGTGCGCACCAATTCAGGGCTGCAGAAAACTGGGCTCATTTCAGGTGCCCAGATTGGGTGATGCGAGGATTTAGTGTCTAATATACACACTAGTATGGGATGTGAACAACACAATTATCTTAGCCACGACCCCCTAAGCGCCTCAAACAATGGTGTACGGATTAGATCTAGCTAGAGTTGGGTGGGGTGCACCTGTGTCGACGCTGACGGGGATTCATAGTACACGCTGACGGGGATTCATAGTACACGCGCACGTGCTGCTCACCCTACGCACTGAAAGAAACAGCAGCCCCGCACAAGGAGCGGAGACCAACAGCCTGGACATGGACATCTCTGTTTTGCCGAAGACTCACTTCACAAAAACGAAAGTTTCGAGCGCTTACGTAACACTACTATCTCCTAAATTCTCCACACAATTTGTACTTAACTCGCGTAGAGATTGAAGGGGACGTCGAATGGGCCTGCTGGACGGCCAACATCCTGAGGATTTTGGTGGCGATTTAAGAGTGTTAATTACAGAGTGTCACATAGTCGCATATTGTCCACAGGACAAGTCCTCGTTACAGTCTTAGGCGTCACGGATACACAATATATATTAGAAACGTCTTTGCACCTAGGTGCTTAGTACACTATAGTTGAGCTTTTAAGCAGTACAAAGATCATCTGATGAGAAGCAACGCTGTGGCATGTGGCCCGGAGAACGCGTAATCTGCATCTAAACCCTAAACCCTCGGTATGAAGTGGTAATTTGTGTGGCAGCAGGGTCTGGCCAGGGGACGAGTATGCCACATCTATTTACATATATACGCCGCTAAGTGTCATTCATATATATACATAC